CTGCTTAGGAAAGGATAATGCCATTTAGGAAATTATAACTGCTAGCTCTTTGGATAGTCAACCACTTTGATGCCTTTTTTGTTCTTAAAGCAGAGTTCCACACAAAAGGGGAAGTTCCGCTTTAAAGACTGGTCCCCCACTGACCATTAAGGATTGGCACCTTTGGGGAGTGGGGGGGGGAGAAGGTACCTGAAATTGACAGGTATCCGCTCCCACTTCCCCTGTGGTCGCCTAGGCGGTCCCAGAAGATTACGGGGCCATTCAGGAAGCGCAGCGCTACTTGCGCATGCGCAGTGGGCACCCACACTAAAGATGCCGGTGCCTGGAACACAGGATGGCCAGTGGATTGGGCTGCGGGGAGGACACTGTGGGATCGTGGGACAGGTGGGTGGCTGTTTTTTTACAGTGTGAGTGGAACTCCGCTCTAATATGGACAGCAGTCACTTTTAAGAGTCCTGTTCATAGCAAATTGTTTTACCTATGAAGGCCCCACTCCTAGCTGCTATTAAATTTACCTATGCTGTGGAGTTCAACCGACATTGCCTGGGTTAAATGTTTGTTTGGTTATGGGGGAAAGGAACAAGGTGAATACTTATTTTATCACAGCAATAGCAATCCTGCATTTTACAAAAAGGTGGTGGGGGCCCGCTCACATTCCCGAACATTGGACAGAGGAGGAGTCCACAACTGTTGTGGGGAGAAAGGAAAAGGGTATTTATTAATATTTATTCCCCCCCAGCCAAATGACTAAATTTAACAGCAGTCCAGAGTGGGGCTTTAAAAAAAAGCACTTTTGTTTTAGGAGTGGTTCTTTGTGGTTTTTGGGGTAATTTCTTTTATTGTTTAAATTTTTATTTTAAGTTGACAGGTGTTTTTAAAGTTCAGGGTGCTCAAAGTAAAGCATTTGTTTGTTACTGACCATCTGTTCTTGGAGCTGCCTTTTGTTTTCAGCAAGCCACTGCATTTATTAAAAAAGAAAATAAAAAAAAATGAAGAACAAGAAAAGTGCACGTAACCACCTCAAATATCAGTCACATTCACTGCAACCTAAAACAAAATATACAGCATGCGCTGGTCCCCATGCACAATCTCTGCTGGTATTAAAAGTACATTGGTGCCTCAAAGGCTAATGACACTTGGTCGCCGCAGCTCTCAAATGGATACTCTGGGAGGCAGGAACACATCTAGATTACCAGGAATATAAATCAGTGAGCGCTCTTGGTAAAAGCAGCTATGCACAAAAACCTTAAAAAATACATAAATCCAAGTGCAGTGCTAAACAATCACAAAAGTGTCCGTTTAAGTGATCCAATATAATATGTAACTCTGATATAATGAATAAAATTATAATAAATGATAAAAGTTCATAAGGTGACAATCTGTGCCTAAAGTGCCAACTGCAACGATGCTTCAGTGCTTGTGCTTGTAGGTGTAGTAAAATTATGCACTCACCAGATGCGCAATGGAATTTATATTTTCTATGCGCATTTCCATTGCACATCTGGTGAGTGCGTAATATTACTACACCTACAAGCACAAGCACTGAAGCATTGTTGCAGTTGGCACGTTAAGCACAGATTGTCACCTTATGAACTTTTATAATTTATTATATTGGGTCACTTAAACGGACACTTTTGTGATTGTTTAGTGTTGCACTTGGATTTATACATCCAGATTACCACAAAGGAAACAAAAAGGAGAGAGCGCAGGATCACTCTAGTGTAAAAACATTTACTGAAGATGTATAAAAAAGATTCAATACACTCACATGCAGTGATCAAAATACAGGAACATCAAGATAATCTAGCCGCCTCTCCTGGTCTGTGGCCCCGCAGTCCATGGAAAAAGACCATGCATGTTGTCAAACTGGAAGTTGTATGAACCCACAACACCACTGACATACAGCCTGGCATGCAGGGCCCAGTGCGCATGCGCTCAGCCAAGCCACAAACGGGGTGAGAACCTCCAGCAGGAGGAAAAGATACACAGAGGGTGGCTGCTAGGGCAACAGGTTTCGGAGGTGTGTACTCCTTTCTCAAGTCCAACCCACCCTAGGCAGAGCTAAATGTTATATGGAGACCCAGAACTCGCCTCCTTCACATGCCTTAAAGGGGAACGGGGCAGGATCTAGGGGGGTGCTAAGCCCACTCAAATTTCAATTGCCCCCCCCCAAAGCTAACTGCCGCCTTCCTCCCCCTGGACACTATACTTGTCTGCTGAACGATACTTCAGACAGCTTCACTTTCTCCCCTGCATCTTTGTAAACATAGTAAATGTACTGCCCAGTTGATCATCATGTCAGCGGGGAAGGGGGGAGGACCAGTGGGGTGGGGTAGGCTGCCTGTACCTCTCACATCATCTAATATAAATCTGATATCCCTTGGTGATCCTCACTATCTTCCGAGGCAGCCAGATTTGGTTGGTGGATGCCTCCTCCATTCCTCCCACAGACTCCTTCACTCAGGAAGAGGAGAAGTGGATACAGCAACCAAGCCCCAGGAAGTCTTCAACACCAGCCATGCTGTAACTAACAGCACACTGTCATTACATACAGCCCCAGCCTGCCACTGTACTGCCACAGCCCTCCCACTAAACTGCCACTGTACTGCCCCAGCCTGCCACTGTACTGCCCCAGCCTGCCACTATACTGCCACTGTATTGCCCCAGATTGCCACTGTACTGCCCCAGCCTGCCACTAATCTCCCACTGTACTACCCCAACCTGCTACTGTACTGCCCCAACCTTCTACTATACTGCCACTGTACTGCCCCAGCCTGCCACTGTACTGCCTCAGCCTTCCACTATACTGCCACTGTACTGCCCCATCCTGCCATTGCACTTCCCCAGCCTGCCACTATACTGCCACTGTACTGCCCCAGCCTGCCACTGTATTGCCCCAGCATGCCACAGTACTGCCCCAGCATTCCACTAATCTCCCACTGCACTAACCCAGCCTGCTACTGTACTGCCCCAGCCTTCCACTATACTGCCACTGTACTGCCCCAGCCTGCAACTATACTGTGATTGTACTGCCCCAGCCTGCCACTGTATTGCCCCAGCCTGCCACAGTACTGCCCAGCCCTCCCACTAACTGCCACTGTACTGCCCCAGCCCTGCCACTAAACTCACACTGTATTGCCCCAGCCTACCACTATACTGCCACTGTACTGCCCCAGCCTGCCACTGTATTGTCCCAGCCTGCCACTGTAATGCCCCAGCCTGCCACTAAACTCCCACTGCACTACCCCAACCTGCTACTGTACTGCCCCAGCCTTCCACTATACTGCCACTGTACTGCCCCAACCTACTACTATACTGCCACTGTACTGCCCCAGCCTGCCAATGTACTGCCCCAGCCTGCCACTATATACTGCCATTGGATTGCCCCAGCCTGCCACTATAGTGCCACTGTATTGTCCCAGCCTGCCACTGTACTACCCCAGCCCTCCACTAAACTGCCACTGTACTGCCCCAGCCTGCCACTATACTGCCACTTTATTGCCCCAGCCTGCCACTAAACTGCCACTGTACTTACCCAGTCTGCCACTATACTGCCATTGTACTGCCCCAGCCTGCCACTAAACTGCCACTGTACTACCCCAGTCTGGTACTGTACTGCCCCAGCCTGCCACTATACTGCTACTGTACTGCCCCAGCCTGCCACTCTACTGCCCCAGCTTGCCACTATACTGCTACTGTACTTCCCCAGCCTGCCACTATAGTGCAACTGTATTGCCCCAGCCTGCCACTATACTGTCCCAGCTAGCCGCTAAACTGCCACTGTAGTGGCAAGCTGAGGTAGTACACTAGCCATCTCCCCTTTTTCAAGGGACCAAAAGTAATTGGACAATTGAATTAAAAGCTGTTTCAGGCCAGGTGTGGGCTACTCCTTTTTTATTTCTTGCTCAATTAAGCAGGAAAAAGGTCTGGAGTTGATTCTAAGTGTGGTATTAGCATTTGGAATCTTTTGCTGTGAACCTACATCATGAGTTCAAAGGAGCTGTCCATGCAAGTGAATCAGGCCATTGTAAGGCTTCAAAAATGAAACAAGTTCATCAGAGAGATAGCAGCAACATTAAGAGTGGCCAAATCAACAGTTTGGTACATTCTGAGGAAAGAAGAATGCACTGGTGAGCTCAGCAACATAAAAAGGCATGGACGTCCATGGAAGACAACAGTGCTGGATGATTGCAGGATCCTCTCTATGGTAAAGAAAAACCCATTCACAACATCCAGACAAATGGGCGTATCATTGTCAAAGTCTACAATCAAGAGAAGACTTCAAAAGAGCAAATACAGAGGGTTCACCACAAGGTGCAAACCATTCATAAGCCTGAAGAATAGAAAAGCCAGATTAGACTTTGCTAAAAACATCTAAAAAATAGACCAGTTCTGGAAAAGCATTCTTTGGACGGATGAAAAAAGTGTGGAGCAGGCTTGGAACAGCTCATGATACAAAGCACAGAACCTCATCTGTAAAACACGGTGGAAGCAGTGTGATGGCATGGGCATGCATGGCTTCCAGTGACACTGGGTCATTGGTGTTTATTGATGATGTGACAGAAGACAGAAGCAGCTGGATGAATTCTGCAGTGTTTAGAGATATACTGTCAGCACACATTCAGCCAAATGCAGTAAAGTTTGATTGGATGGCACTTCACAGTACAGATGGACAATGATCCAAAACACACTGCAAAAGCATCCCAGGAGCTTTTGAAGGAAAAGAAGTGGAAATATTCTGCAATGGCCGAGTCAATCACCTGATCTTAACCCAATTGAGAATGCCTGTTGAAGGGAAACTAAAGGTAGAAGCTTGCAAAGCCTTGCAAAGCATCAGAAAGGAGGAAACCCAGTCTTTGGTAATGTCTAGAGATGAGCGAATTATTCAAAAATTCAATTCGGCTGATTCGGCGAATTCACGGAATAAATTCGATTCGAGTCGAATATATTCGCTGCGAATTTAACTTATAAAAAGGGTGTTTCTAGGCTTCAGAGAGCCTTTATATTAGTGCAGAACACTGTACCTTTAATTTAAATGCCCTTGGAGTCTGCTGGGGAAGAGAAATAATACTGTCAGTCAGTATGACATGCAGATGAGTGCCGTCGATCTTAGAATCACCGCACACTTCACTCATTTGGGCAGTCACGGGCCAAAACCAGAGTGTGGAGCCACAGTGTGGCGGTGGAGGCAGCAGCAATGGGAGGCCATACAGCACCCTATGAAAAAATGGAACCCACCAGCAGTGTGAGGAGACCTGAAAGTGGCACATGGCAGAGTGTGGCGATGGAGACAGCAGCAATGGGAGGCCGTACAGGGACCCATGACACACTCTGGACCTGGCAGCAGCATGAGGAGGCGGTACAGGGGCCCATGACAGATTACGGGCCTGGCAGCAGCATGAGAGGTCGGTACGGGGGGCCCATGGCAGATTACGGGCCTGGCAGAAGCAATGGGAGGCCATAACCAGCACTCTATGACAAAATGGAACCCACCAGCAGTGTGAGGAGACCTGAAAGTGGCACATGGCAGAGTGTGGCGATGGAGACAGCAGCAATGGGAGGCCGTACAGGGACCCATGACACACTCTGGACCTGGCAGCAGCATGAGGAGGCGGTACAGGGGCCCATGACAGATTACGGGCCTGGCAGCAGCATGAGGAGTCGGTACGGGGGCCCATGGCAGATTACGGGCCTGGCAGCAGCAATGGGAGGCCGTACAGGGACCCATGACACACTCTGGACCTGGCAGCATGCATGAGGAGGCGGTACAGGGGCCCATGACGTACAGATTACGGGCCTGGCAGCAGCATGAGGAGTCGGTACGGGGCCCATGGCAGATTACGGGCCTGTCAGCAGCAATGGGAGGCCCGTAATCTGCCAGCACCCTATGACAAAATGGAACCCACCAGCAGTGTGAGGAGACCTGAAAGTGGCACATGGCAGAGTGTGGCGATGGAGACAGCAGCAATGGGAGGCCGTACTGGGACCCATGACACACTCTGGACCTGGCTGCAGCAAGAGGAGGCGGTACAGGGGCCCATGGCAGAGTGGCGAAGCGTAAGCAGCTTAAATTGAAGGCCATACAGAGGCCTATGTTAAAAATAATAACATGTTTGGGGCATGATTCATGGCGGATTTAGTCAGTTGTGTCAGGAAACTGGAGGTTTGAAATCCAGACTAATCCACGCCTGATTCATTTTCACAAACGTGAGTCTCTCCACACTTTGGGTGGACAGTCGTGTCCTCCGCGGAGTTACAATACCTCCTGCCGCACTAAACACGCACTCCGATGCCACGCTACTGGCCGGGCATGACAGCCTTTCAAGGGCAAATTCAGCTAGTTGGGGCCAAAGGTCAAGTTTCGTTGCCCAGTAGCCAAGGGGATTGTCTACCTTGGTTGGCAGGGTGCTGTCCAAGTAGGCCCAAGCCTGTTGTTTGAGGTCCTGCTCCAGGTCCACCTGATGCTGCTGCTGCTGCGGCTGGTTAGTAGTTTCCTCACTGCGCTGGTGAAGAAAGCTACTCATCATCGACTGCAGACTGTGGCAGCCGCTGCTGGTGGAGCTACCACTGCTCCTACCACCCCACCCCTCCCCTGCTGCCATGGCAGCGGAACGCTGAGGAGCGCACAGGGCCCACAGTGTCTGAGGATGGACGTTGGCGCAGAAAGGCAGAGACCAACTGACTACATAGGTGGTTTTTATAGTACGTTATTTTGGCCTCCCTCTCAGCAGGTGTGAAAAAGGCCACCATTTTTGAACGGTAGCGAGGGGTCCAACAAGGTGGACAGCCAAAAGTCATCCCTCTGTCTGATGGTTATTATTCGGCTGTCGCTACGCAAGCAACCGAGCATGCTATGGGCCATTTGTGCCAAGGAATGCGAGGGACTCCCTGCCTCCATCTCCACAGCATACTGCCACGGTGCGTCTGGGTCCTCTGTCTCCTCTTCCTCCTCCTCTACCAGATGCTCCTGCTCCTCCACTCCTGTCCGCTGAGTGGAAAAACCACCCATTTCACTCAATAATTCCTGAACACCAATGTCCTCCTCTACCTCCTTCCTCTTCTTCCTGTCCTGCCCCCACAGGGGTCATGTGGCGTTGAGATCTGTGCGCCTACGTCTACTGCACCCTGACCAGCCATTGTTAACAGCATTTGTTCCAGGACGTGCAACAGAGGAATGACGTCGTTTCATCCCATAGTCCTGCCGATCATCACGAATAGCGTGGCCTCCTCAAAGGGCCTGAGCAAGCGGCAGGTGTCACGCATGAGCTGCCAATGGCTGACATCTAAGTTTACACAGGGGAGTACCTTTATCCGCTTGTAACATCAGGAAATCGGTGATGGCCTTTCGCTGTTCGTAAAGGCGGTCTAACATATGTAGGGTTGAATTCCACCCTTGTTGCAACGTCGCAGATCAGGCGATGCTGTGGAATTCCGTTCTGCCGCTGCAGCTCAAGGAGGGTGTGCTTTGCGGTGTAGGAATGGCTGAAATGCATGCAAAGTTTACGTGACATTTTAAGGATGTCTTGCAGTGGGATGGTGGATTTTAGGAACCGCTTGACAACCAGATTGAACACGTGAGCCATGCATGGCGCCATGGCACAACCTTCCTTGAGCCGCAGAGCAGACACCATGTTCTTTCCGTTGTCGGTCAACATTGGTTCCGATTTTCAGTTGCGCGGAGACAGCCATCTGTCGATTTCTCTGTTCATTACACTCAGAAGTTCCTCCCCTGTTGTGACTACGTTCGCCAAGGCATACCAGGTGCAGCACAGCGTGACACCGTTTGCGCCCTGCACATGTGATATGCCGGTTGGGTAATGGGACTTGGCACGGGGGTGGCGGCTGAGGACACGGCGGAAGAAGAGGTGGTAGAGGCGGACATCTTTGCTGGACCAAGGACGTGCAAACGTGGAGGCAAAAGCGGCGTGACCTGTCCAAGTTGCTGGTGCGGCTGTGACGGCACCACGTTCACTCAGTGGGCCGTAAATGACATGTACTGTCCCTGACCGTAGTTACAAGCTCCCACACGTCGGCGCTGCCGTGCACTTTGGCAGAGACCAACATGCTCAAAGACTGGCCCACCATCTCTTCTACATGTGAATGCAGGGCTGGCACTGCCTTTTTTGGCAAAGAAATGCCGGCTTGGCACTCTCCACCACCCGCGGCGCGGCACAAGCCCTCATTTCTCGGAAAGGTGCTGAGTCCACCACTTGGAAAGGGAGGGACTGCAGCACAGCAACTTGGACAGGAGGACGTTCAGCTTCTGCACCGTCGGGTGCGTGCTCACAAAACTGTTGTCTCTTGGAAACGGATTCCAAGAAAGACTGCTGACGGAATCCGTGAAGAGGAGCAGCAGGAGAAGGAGCATCTGAACGAGCGGAAGATGCCAACGAGCGACAACTCCCCTCAGCAGAGGTGTTGGAGCCTTGACTGGCTGATAGAGGGCGATGACGTTCGGGTGACGGAGCAAGTAACGGAGCGGGTGATGGAGCGGGGGCTGGGGCAGGCAGAACCGCCGTATCTTTATCACGGTTTTTTCCCAGGCCACCGAAATGGGCGATGCTGCATATGCTGACGCAACGCTGTAGTCCAACATGGGCCCCCTGGCCACGCTTGACTTTCTGGCCACATAGTCGACATACGGCTACGTTTACTTCCTCGGGCGGCTTGACGGAAAATTGCCACACCGCCGAGTAGGAAACTTTGCCCCCCGCTACTCCTCACTGGCTGACTGCTACTTCTCCGTGCACATCGGCACCACTACTGGCCGTGGTGGTAGGCTGCAGTGGAGCTGGTGCTCTACTCCGTGGCCGTTTGCCTCCACTGACACTGCTGCGACCCTGCTGCCTCCTGGGCAACCCACCGGACTGTTTTGCTCGCTGCCAAGCTGGCACTCTCTTTCTCCTGATGATGCGGAAGCAATAGCCTGATGACGACGAGGCTGCCAAGTGCGATCAGACCTATCATCATCAATTAGGGTCTCCGCCTCACTACTAGCCCCCTCGGCTGCGTGTGGGTCAGGAGACAGACCTGTCTCTAGAACCGGCTACCGAGCCACTCTCCTCGCCACTACTTCTTCGCCTGGCTGCTGAAGAGGCGGGATGTCTCCCCCCGTTCCTGACTGCCCTCTGTTAGCTCTTCCTCACTGTACAGTGGGGCTGAGCCCCACAGCATGCGATACTTTGCTTGGTGAGGGAACACCAAAGGACAGGGGGCAGGTCGAGGACACGTGATTTCAGTGGGCTTGCTCCCGGGCCATGCCAACTAACGGTTGTGTCTGACGTTACCCACCGACCGTTGGCTGTAGGTGTCAGAGGTGACCTGGGAAGAGGAAGACGACCGAGCAACCAATCGATGACGGCAGGGTTGTCGGTGGAGACACGACCACTGGATGACACCGGGAGCACTGGCCTCTGGCTGCGACTAGTGCTGCCTCGACCCCTTCCTCTGCTGCCACGTCTGCTTGCTCCTGAAACATTGCCTCCTCTGCCACTCCTCTCGTGTTGTCTGACATACTCTTTAATTCAACGATTCTGTGTCCCTGAGTAACGATTCTGTGTCCCTGAGTAAACAATTCTGTGTCCCTGAGTAACGATTCTGTGTCCCTGAGTAACGATTCTGTGTCCCTGAGTAACAATTCTGTGTCCCTGAGTAACGATTCTGTGTCCCTCAGTAACAATTCTGTGTCCCTCAGTAACAATTCTGTGTCCCTGAGTAACGATTCTGTGTCCCTGAGTAAACGATTCTGTGTCCCTGAGTAACGATTCTGTGTCCCTGAGTAACGATTCTGTGTCCTCGAGTAACAATTCTGTGTCCCTGAGTAACGATTCTGTGTCCCTGAGTAACGATTCTGTGAGTCCCTGAGTAACGATTCTGTGTATCTCCAGTAAACAATTCTGTGTCCCTGAGTAACAATTCTGTGGATCTCTGAGTAACGATTCTGTCTCCCTCAGTAACAATTCTGTGTCCCTGAGTAACAATTCTGTGTCCCTGAGTAAACGATTCTGTGTCCCTCAGTAACGATTCTTTGTCCCTGAGTAACAATTCTGTGTCCATAGAGTAAACGATTCTGTGTCTGTCCCTGAGTAACAATTCTGTGTCCCTGAGTAACAATTCTGTGTCCCTGAGTAACAATTCTGTGTCCCTCAGTAACGATTCTGTGTCCCCCTGAGTAAACAATTCTGTGTGTCCTCAGTAACGATTCTGTGTCCCTCAGTAACGATTCTGTGTCCCTGAGTAACAATTCTGTGTCCCTGAGTAACAATTCTGTGTCCCTGAGTAACAATTCTGTGTCTGTCCTGAGTAACAATTCTGTGTCCCTGAGTAAACAAATTCTGTGTCCCTGAGTAGTAACGATTCTGTGTCCCTCAGTAACGATCTGTGTCCCTGAGTAACAATTCTGTGTCCCTGAGTAACAATTCTGTGTCTGTCCCTGAGTAACAATTCTGTGTCCCTGAGTAACAATTCTGTGTCCCTGAGTAACATTCTGTGTCCCTCAGTAACGATTCTGTGTCCCTCAGTAACAATTCTGTGTCCCTGAGTAACAATTCTGTGTCCCTGAGTAACAATTCTGTGTCTGTCCCTGAGTAACAATTCTGTGTCCCTGAGTAACAATTCTGTGTCCCTCA